TCATGGTGGACACGACAGGTACAACTGGCAGTTAAAGAGAAGAAAGCAGCATTCAAGAAATGGCTTGGAAGCAAGGAGCCATCTACACGCGTGCGATATATCGAGGCACGCAAGGCGGTAGCCATAGCAGTGGCAAAAGTCAAGGCTGATTCCTGGGAGACGTTCGGTGAGTTGTTGGAGTCGAATTTCAGCAAGGCAAAGTAAGTACTCTGGCAGATCATCCGCCGTTTCCGAGGTGTAAAGAAGGGCAGTCTAATAGTCCTGAAGTAGGAATCTGGACACCATCTTACCGAGGATGAGGACGTTATTCAGCGATGGAAGGGGTACGTTGAGGAACTGCCTAACGTTAAGCAACTGCAGAAAGTCTTGAAATAGAGGGTAAAATGCTATGAAAAGCTACTTGAGACGTGAAATCCTGCTGAAATCGATTAAATCCGCCATAGAATTGTCAAAGCATTAAGCAACATAGGATGTGCTGGCTTGCGCATGTCAGTAAACTGAGTTGGTTACGGAGAACACACCAGCGGACTGGAGAACGGAGGTTGTCGTTCCTTGTTCAAGAAAGGAGACTGTGTTGAGTGGTCTAATCATAGAAGCATTCTCTCATTGAGCCTCACGATAGGTAAAGTCTGTGCAAAGTTGCTAGAAAAAAGGCGACGCGGAATAACACCCTCCAAGATGCAAGAAGAACAGTTTGGCTTCCGGTCCGGCCGAAACACATCTGACCATATATTCACTTTACGCCAGACTGATGAGAAACTTTGCTCATTCCTTTTATATGCGCTTTGATGGCCTAGAAAAAGCCTACGACCGGATCCCGCGCAACAGTATATGGGTATGACTGCAAACTTACGGGTTTGATGGTCATTTGCTAGGGGCCATTCAATCACTGTATTCTGATAGCAGGTACTGCATCAGAGTAAGTGGAGTTAAGTAGAAGTCTTTCAGCGTTGGTACTGGTCTCCGCCTGGGTTGCATTCTATTCCCCCTCCTCCTTGTGTTATACATGGATAGAATAGTGAGGAGCAGCCATGGCGATGAGTGCATTGGTGTAGGAGGTGTCGAGACGAGAAGGTTGTTGTTTGCGGACGACCTTGTTTTATCGGCATTTTCTGAAACTCATCTACATGCTCTCTGTAATGGTTCACAGCTGAGTGCGACGTGGCCGGCATGCGTATGTACGTATCTAAAACGAAAAGCATAGTGCCTTCTTCTTCTCCTATCAGTTGTTCTCCTCAGATAAACGGAACTGCAATGGACCACATGGAAAAGTTCAAGTGCATCAGGGTCGTGTTTACTGATGACAGAAAATTGGAGGAAGAGATCGACCGGCGAATTGAAATGGTCAGCGTCGTTATTCGTTAACTAGCCTGAATCGTTGTGACTGAAGCAGGACTGTGTCTGAAGGCTATGCTCTTGATATTCAAGTTGATCATCATGCCTCTGTTCACCTACGGTCATGAGTCGGGGCCACGACTTAGAAACTTCGTTGTCAGGTAGAGGCGGTTGAAAGAGGCATTCTGAGACGAATTGCTGGCTTCACGCGTGTCTACGGGATCCGGAGTATAGAAGTCCGAGAGATCGTTGGTGTAGAGCCGCCGCTTCTTCAGGGTGAGAAGTCATAACTGCGATGGTTTGGACACGATGCCTCCAGAAAGGAAGGCGAAGTTACTATTATTTTCCCGTCAGACCGGCAGAAAACCAAGGGGACGGCACCAGGTCATCGGACATGGTGTAAGTGCATCGAGGGAGCATTCTCTCGACTCCGGCTGTCTTCTACCAACGCTCAGAAGGTGGAACAGGATGTTGGCAGGTTGGCACTGTCTGTTGTATATGCCTTCTCCACCAGAAAGGAGAAGTGGTCATCAAAAATGAATAATAGAATATGCGATAATGCATAAGCTATTGATTATCTATGTTTATTGGATGCTGCATTTTGACAGAAAAACATCAGACTGCAATACAGCGTCGTTTTAGTAAAATGTAGCACATTTTCTGTTTACCTTCTTTACTATGTCCTATCAGTTTGTCTATACACGCGTTTTTGGATAATATTTGTTTATTTTTATGCCGAATAAATTTGCATACTGGTCACGCTACCTGAAGTTTTTGACTATTTTTTGCATTGCTAGTTTTAGTTTGTTAAAACATTTTGAAAATCATTTGGAATATTTTTAGGAGCAATCATTTCTATAATAAAACTGCTTTTTAAGTATGATTTGAGTACAATGAGTACATCAGTAAACGTTAAGAATGTTTATATGTTTAGATGCCTGTAAATTGGGGCGTATACGTAAACTTGTTCCGTTAAACATATGCCAACTCAGCAGCCTGAAGACGAACTTGACGATGTGGCGGGACGTACGTAAAAAATGATGGCGTAACGTTCGAAGTTAAGCAGAAACTTTCGCTGCAGCTGAAAGTGAACATATTAATAGAACCTACAGTAGAGCCCAGTCGCCATTCTGTTAAAGTGGTATCGTTCAGCAGCAAGTTTACTGCAAAATATGCGGCGAAGTCTCCATTATATCGAGACGCATGTATTCATGATTTTTCTCAAGCGTTGAAACTGACTAAAGACTCTGTAGCTCAAACCGTTAAGAAATGGAACTATTTCGCCTT